GTTATCTCTGACTCAGGTGTTGCGGGACTTCGAGGAGTCCCTCTCGGAGGCCGCTGCTTTTACTCGGAAGGAATCCAGAGCTTCCTGGAGGCAGTGGATCTTGGAGGGCATCGAGAAAGGGGGCAAGAGGGCTCATCAGTACACGAGGGACCCCCAGTCTTGGAAACCAACGACTACCCTGAGCTCCGATGGCGCCCTGGTTTCGGATCCACTCAGCCTCCTGAAAGCGGAAGCCCTCAAGTTCGTGGACCTCTGGGGCGCGACTTATCAGGAGGCTCGGCCGCCTGACCGTTTCGCGCGCGAGGCTATCCTGGAGCCCTTGGGGTTTCTCAGTCCTTCAGTGCTTCGCGATCTCAGCCTCGGCGATTCCAGATTTACGGCTGTCCCGGCCGACGGCTTTCAAATGAGGCACTTCGCGCAGCCTAGCGACGGCGCCCTCCTGGCCCTGGGGAAGATGTTCCAGCTCTGGGAGATGCTTTCGGCTTTTCCGACTCAGTTGAGGGTGGTTCTCCTGGCAATGTTGTCGAAGGCCTCTGGAGGTTGCAGGCCTATTGGCCTCTTCGTGGTTACTTACAGACTCTGGGGACGTGCTCGCCGTCGCTTGGCTGAGGAGTGGGAGGCCGCGTGGCAGAGGCCTTTCTTCGCCTGCGGGCGATTCAAGTCTTCCTCGGATGCGGTTTGGAGGCAAGCTCTTAGATCTGAAGAGTCGGTATCCAACAACGATGTGTCCGCTAGTGTCCTTTGGGATATGTATAAGTTATACGAACTATTTGATCTGGAGCTGCTTCTAGACCGATGCAGGCGCGTCGGTTTTTCTCCGCAGGTGGCCCGCTTGTGCGCGTTCGCCTACCAGCGTGCGCGGTTTATTTTGATGAATGGCAGCGTCAACGGACCTTGGTTAGCCATCAAGGGGGTCATCGCTGGGTGCTCGATCGCGACTACATTCGCTCGTATTTACCTCGTCCTGGATCTGGATAGGTTGACGCTGCCGCGCTCTGTCACCCTAGATGCGTATATCGACGATTGCGCCCTGAATTGCACTGGCGGTGTCGAGCTAGTGATTCGGGACCTTGCTGCCGCATCGCGAGCTCTGCACCGCGTCCCCACGATTGATTGTAAGTGCTCGCTGTGGATCGATCGTACCACGGGGGTCACTGCTGACAAAGCTTGTCTCATCTCGTCCTCTCCTGCTGTTGCTCGTCGTCTTCGTGACATTCTGGGGGGACTAGCAGGGCCGGCCACTACAGGGGTAGCTAATCTCGGGATCGACGACACTCAGGGCAAGCCTCGAAGATCGTCTGGCCGTTGTGCTACTGCCAAGAAGCGAGTCGCTATGTTCAACCGTCGCACCAAGAGGCTGGCCAAGTTGAAACCCGACCTTGGCAAGCGACGCAAGCAGATATTCACCGCTGGGCCGCTGCCTGGCATTTTATGGCACCGAAGTCCACGGGCGTAGCGACGGGGAGGTTCTTCGGATTCGTCGAGGGCTCGGTCGTACGATGCAGCCGTCAGCAGGGGGTCGGTCTCTCACCGTGCTTATGATTGCTGAGAATGATCCCTCTTGGCTCGCCTCGATAGCACCAGTGGTTCGATGGGGTAAGGAGGTGTGGATCACGGCGAGCAAGATCACGTTTCGTTCGCTATCGTTTGCTGCCCTTCGCTCGGCATGGAGTGCCACTTTCTCCAAGGACATCACATGGCGCTCGCGCGGTGGACCCGTCGGTGCGATGAAGCTCTCTTTGTGCAGGATTGACTGGCAGATGAAAGACCCCTTCACTCTGACCAATGACCTCCAGCAAGAGATCTCGCTGCCTGTCACATCACCTGCCTTGATGAAGGAGCTCCTCAGGGAAGGAGTGCTTCGCTCTTTGGAGAGGCAGGCCAGTCTTGCCTTGGGGTCCTCTGATCGGTTGTGCTTCGACGTTATGGTTACGGCTACTCGGTCAACTACATTCGATAAGATCCAGAGGGGCACTGTGAAAGCGGTTCATTGTGGGGCGACTTGGACTCGTGATAAGGCCGTTAGTTTAGGATATCAGCGTTGTCCGATGTGCGTTCTCTGCGGGGAGCCCGATTCTTTATTCCACAGGATTTGGGAGTGTAGCAAATGTTCTGAGCTCCGTGCCAGTCTTGTGGACCCCTGGGTGTTAGAAGCCTCTAAGGACCCCAATGTGGACCTCCTTCTTTTCACCCGAGGCCTTTTCAGGCACCCAGGGGACTTGTACCCACCTCCGCTCTCGTCCACAGGAGTAGATATTCAATGGCACGACGACCCAGCTCGGCTGGGTGGCGGGTTCGAGGGCCATGTATGTATGGACGGCTCTTGCTTCAAACATCCTGTGCGTGAATTGTCGAGAGCGGGGTGGGGGCTGTGTGTTTTTGAAAATTCGGATTCCGCGGCCCCTCTCTGTTCGGTTTCGGCCCCCGTCTGGGGCCCCACGCCCCAGACGAGTCAGGGAGGGGGGTGCTCAGCCTTCGGGGGCTCCGTGTTTTTGACTGGGGGTCCCAGCCACTTCTATACGGACTGCCTGAATGTGCACAAGCAGTACCATGCTCCAGGTTATTATAACCAGATCAGTTATAAACTCGTCTATAGCGGTATGATGATGCAGGCTCTGTCTCACGTTTCGTTGATTTCGAGTCTCACCAAGGCGAAGGCTCACCAGAGTTTCGAGTTGGATTTGCCTCCGCTGGAGGCCTTTTACCGCTTGGGCAACCGCGGGGCCGACCAGGCGGCCAAGAGAGGTGCTCTCCAGCACCCTGCCGCTGCGCCCGAGCTTCAAGAGGCTGTGAGTCGTAGTGTTTCGGTTGCCAAAAAGGTAGCTAAGCTGTCTGCTCACCTTCTGCCGCTCTGGCCTCGCCTTGACCTCAAGGGGGTGCAGCTTATCGTCCCGCCGCGTCCTGCCGTGGAGGCCCGTTCGGGCCATTCCTGGGTGCGGGTTGGGGACCTTTGGCAATGTACTCAGTGCCTCCGCGGGAGGCGCACTGCGGCGGTGCCGCCTCCAGGAGTCTGTTCCCATCACTCGCGTGTGCAAGTCGCTCAGTTGGCCTCGCTCGGCCACCGGTGCTGGGTGGTTGATTGCAGCGACGACTCCTTTGTCTGTTTTTGTCAGACGTGTAAGTGCTACACTTCTGGTTTAAGGCTCGCCAAACTTGCGAGCCGCTGTTATGGCCCTCCTGCCAATAAGGATGGCACTCCCAGGACACCAGATTCCTGGGCTCGCATGCTTCGTGGCCTTCATCCTAAGCGGTCACGGGTGACAATTTTGTCAAGCACGATGGCTGCGCTCTGTCCGTAACATCGGGGGGGACGGTTGGGCCAACCCTCGTTGGGCTGATGGTCCCCCCTGCGCGTGCGGAAGCCGTGTGGCCTCGCCGCTGACAGTGTCGCCGCTCTCTGCCCCAGGCTTTCGCTCTGCGACTCTGGTGCAGGAGCCTCTGCGCCTCGGCCTGACTCAATGCAGGATGGTTGTGGCGTCTCCAGCGGTGCATGTTTAAAAAATAACCTCCTCCTCCTCCTCCTCAGAAGCCCTCCGGCCTTCTGAGAGGATTGTTCAGAAAGCCGGGGGACCTCCGAGCCTTCTGAGAAGACCCGCCCCGTCTCACTTCCCCCCTGGGCTAGACGCCAGACTCCGCGCCCTGCCATCGCGCCCGAGAACGCTCTCAGAGCGTTCCGGAGCGCTCTGAGAAGACCGCGGCGCCTGAGACAGAGCTTGTAAAAACCACCCAGGGACGTACCCAACTTTTTTTACACATGAGTCGAGTATACATCGGACCGCTCAAGACGAAAACAAGCACTGAAGGATCGCTGTGTTTTTGAACGCTTCGCCAAAGAACGTTGGGCCCGAGTCAAATATTTCACATTCGCGGCATCATTCTTAAGAGTCAGATCGTTGGGAGGAAGGCGACCACGAGCGGGCGTGGAAACATAGTATTGAAGGGAAACTGGAGACATGCTTCGTGGGGGTAACAGTGCATCGCGCTAGGTTCTCATTACAGATCAGCGCCATGCGCACTATGACAGAGCAGCGCCCTGCGCGCAAGCGCTGCAAGTGCCCGAGTGCACTACAGTACAGACAAGAGGTAATTAAAGAGTCGATGCGGCATGGGCACATGACAGCACCATGCGTTCCATGGCGCCCCATCCCGCTTCGATCTGCGATCAGACAGCGCAGCGAGGTCTCATGGCGGTTCCCGTGAGACACCTCCCGGGCGCGCTTTGGTAGTGTGGTCTTCCGCCTGGCGAGGCAAGCTCCGGCCAGTGTGCGGGTGTGTCCTCGGCGCCCTCGCGCGGCCGCCCCTGGCTGCTGCCCGCCCCCCGGCTGCCCCGCGGCTGCCGCCCCGCCGCCCCGGCGCCGCCCCTGCCGCGGCCCGGCCCCGCTCTGAGCGGGCCCGGCTTCCGTCTCCCTCCCGCCCGCGCCGGGCCTTCCCCCGCCTCCTCGCGCGCCTCGCGGCTCGATTGGCAGCGGTGTGCCCCACGCGGGCCCTGTCCGCCAGAGCAGTCACTCTGCCGAGCCGCCGACGCAAAAGGTGCGTCCTCGGCGCGAGCACGCGCGGGAGGGGCTGCGTCAGATGATCGTTTGGGCAACCGTCCTGGGGCCCACCCGACGGATCTGTTCAACTCTAGTTCGACCACAGTTCGGCTCAGATTCGATTCGGGTTCGATTCGAGGTCGACCCAAATCGACGGACATTTGACGCAGCTTCGACGCACGAGTGGAGCGAGTGCTTCCAGGAAGGTCCCCAGAATGAGCATCCAAGCTGCGGCCGGGGCGCTGTTTAAGGAATGTCCCCAGGAGGTTTCAGACCCTGGAGGACTTTCCTTATCTGATCAGGGCGGCGGTGATATGCATCGCCGCTTCACGATTGGAGTTCCACCTGTTTCCGGACCATGGATTTCTGATCCAATGGTTCTTTCTCAAATGTCCTCCTCCTCCTCCTCCGCCTCCTCCTCTGATTTTGGCTGACGGGAGTCTGCTCGTAGTTCCCCTCCCCGTGCAGGCGACGTCCTCCCACGTGACGGTGGGCGGCTTCGCCGCCCGCGTGGAGGTCGAGCTACCCCCGAGCTGCAAGCCCTGGCTCGAGCCCGAGGGCGACGCGGAGAGGACGCGTCTTTGATTTGTGTTGCACAACTGTGCTCTAGGAGCTCGGACCTGTTTTCTTTCTTCATTGTCGTTCGTTCGTTTGTCGTTCGTCCTCCCCCCCACTCTCCCTGACCTCCCCCTTGGTCCTGGCCCCAGGCCTCCCCCCTCCCCGGCCTCCCTGCCCTCCCCCAGTTCCTTTGTGCAAGAGCCATGGCACGCGTGCCACTTGTTCGGAAGGGAAGTTGCAGACAGTTGGGGGGAATTTGTATCTTTTAGGCAGGTGGGCTCATCTCCCCCTCTCCTCCCTCCTCCGCCCCACGACCGAGTCTGGGGCTATTGCAGGATTTTGCTCACTTGTCTGCGCTGCATTGTTGCCGACTCTCGTCGCGCAATCGTTCCCCTTGGGGGGGGGGGAAACGTAATGTGTTCAGAGCTCCGTCCAGATTCCTTGGATCGGCGCCCGGCCCCCCTGGCGGCGCCTCCAGGAGCTCGGACCTCTTTAATTCCGTCGTCGTTGCTCGTTCGTTCGTAGTTCGTCCTCCCCCCCGACCACAGAAGGAAACTCCTGGAGGAAGGAGGCGAACGCCTCCTGTCCCTCGCAGCTCCTTGGTGCAGGAGCCAGGGCACGCGTGCCACTTGTTCGAAGGGGAAGCCGCATAAGCACAATTTGTTCGCCCAGAGTCCTTGGATCGGCGCCAGGCCCCCCTGGCGGCGCCTCCAGGGCCGCATCCGGCGCGCCCGGCGCGCCAGGGAGGGGGGTCCGGCGCCAATCCAGGCAATCCGCGCGGAGTTCCGACAGCTTATGATTATGCAGTGTTTGTGTTTTGCTTGGTATTCTCACTCTTAGTGCTACTACGATTCGTCGCATCATTAATATTATCTTGTTAATTTGTCTTAGCATTAGCACTATTCTTCTAAGTCGTATTATGGCTATTGGCATTGCTTGCGTTGCTGTTCTCCTTCTTCTCCTACGAGGAATTTCTAGGACGCCCACTGCGAATCACCGCCGCCCCCTGCCTTGTTTGGAAGCGCCTATGTGGCCGAGCGTTAGGCCAGAGCTCGACTAAGCTATCGGACTGTGTGTTCGCCCAGGCGTTGTGAAAGCCTTGGGGGGAACACTCGTGGGAGAAAGAGAGAGGGGCGCAGGATAGAGAGGAGAAGGAGGAGGAGGAGAAGGAGGAGGAGGAGGAGGAGACCTCTCAGGGGAGCTGCGGATTGTCGAATACGCCGACGGCGAATCAGTGCCGCCCCCAGCCTTTTTGGAAGCGCGTATGTGGCCGAAAATTGAGCTAGAGCTTGGCCAAGCTATCGGACCGTTTTTTCCCCCAGCCGTCGTGGAAACCTGTCGGAGAACACGCGAGGAAGAGAATGAGGAGAAGAAGGAAAAGGGAGTAGGATGAAGAGGAGGAGGAGGAGGAAGAGGAGGAGGAGGAGGAGGAGGAGAATGAAGAGGAGGAAGAAGAGGAGAAGGAGGAGGCGGAGACCTCTGGGGAGCCTCTTGGGGCATTCTTGGAGTCTCCTGGGAGCCTCTTGGAGGCATCTTGGGAGTCTCCTTCGGCCTCTTGGGGACCTTTGGGGGCGTGTTCGTGGCCTCTTTCGCCGTCCTAGGGCGTTCCTGGGCCGTCGGGAGCCGTCTTGGGGGCCTCTCTGGACCGTCTTGGGGCTTTCTTGGGGCGCTTCAGGGCCGTCTTGAAGGCCATCTTGGGCGTCATGAAGCCCTCTTGGGCCGTCTTGGGCCCCGCTATGTGCCGTCTTGGGGGCCTCTTGGGGGCGATCTTGAAGGCCTAGACCTTCGGAAGTCCAAAAGGAAGCTAATACCAAAATCAATCGAAACCTATGGAAATCAATGATCTTCGTATTTTCGGGCTTTCCTGGAGGACCTCTCGGTGGCCTCTTCGGCCGACGTGGAGGCTTCTTGGGGTTCTCTCGGATCGTCTTGGGGGATTCTTGGGTGGGCTTGGAGGCATCTTGGATCTTCTTGGGCCGACTTAGAGGCCGTCTTGGACCATCTTGTCCGAACTTGGAGGTCAGCTTGGGCCATCTGGGCAATCTTAATCACCAGCGAGGCCGTCTTGGAGACCTTTTGGAGAAGCGCCGCGGCCTTTCGGGTGGCCGGCGCACTGTGCCAACGCCCCAGGGAGAGTTGCAGAGAGAACCAACAAAAAAACGCCTGAAATCCAGCACGCCAGGCACCCCTGTGGCAGGACCGCGAGGGGGTGGCGGATGTGGTGGCCTTCAGCGCATCCCGCCACCGCGCCTGGGTTGAAGGTCAGAAGCCCCTTGGATGCCCGTTGGGATCTCTTGGGGCCTCTGCTGGGCCTCTTGGAGCCTCTGCTGGGCCGCAGTTTCCCCCGGGGCCTTAGGCGGCCCGAGGAGGAGGAGGAGGAGGAGGAGGAGGAGGAGGAGGAGGAGGAGGAGGAGGAGGGGGAGGGGGAGGAGGAGATGGAGGAGGAGGAGGAGGAGGAGGAGGAGGAGGAGGAGGAGGAGGAGGAGGAGGAGGAGGAGGAGGAGGGGGGAGGGGGGGGGACTCTTAGCTGCAGTTTCGGAGTGTCTTGGGGCCTCTGTTGGGCCTCTTGGAGCCTCTGTGGGTGTCCTCCTGGGGCCTCTTGGGGGCCTCTTGGGGGCCTGCTGGCGGTCTATGGGGTGGTTCAAGCCCAAGAGGGGCACCTTTTTAATATGATTTCCTTGCACTGGCCTGTTTTCTAGAGTCTCTTATTCTCGTCGTCGTGTCGTCGTCGTCGTCGTCGTCGTCGTCGTCGTCGTCGTCGTCGTCGTCGTCGTCGTCGTCGTCGTCGTCGTCGTCGTCGTCGTCGTCGTCGTCGTCGTCGTCGTCGTCGTCGTCGTCGTCGTCGTAATTATGTCGTCATCGTATGTCGTCGTCGTCGCTCTGTTCGGGATGAAGGACAAGCGGCGAGGGAGAAGGTTCAGGAGGAAGAAGAAGAAGGAGGAGGACATTTGCGCATGTGCAGCGATTGCATGACTCACGGGGCGAGACCACCTGACCTCCACCCCTGTTTCGGGGGGCCTTGAGGGGCGCCTCGCCTTCTTCCTCCCGTGGATGGTTTCACCTCTTCGCGCTTCTATGTTTCTGTCTCGTCTCCATCTTCGTACAGGCCACAGCCTGTTCTTCTGTATTGATGATTGGTTGCTTGGGGGGGATTCTTCGACCCTTCCCCCCAGCGAAGACCAGGAGGAGGATCAACGAGGTGCCCCAGTGTTTCATCACAGACCGATCCGCAGCCTCAGCCTGAGTTGGAGAAGGAGGAGGAGGAGGAGGAGGAGGAGGAGGACTGCCGCTACGGTAGGAGGAAACAATTAGCGGACACTCCCCCAATCCCCCACATTCAAAGTTGGCACGCGCGGGGAAGATTGCGGTCGAAGTGCAACTCATTCAGCCCACCGCCAGCATTGATGATTTAGGTGGCATTAAGAGATGAGTGTGGCGCGAGTGTTCGCCAATCTCTTCCGTGGCCTGCACCTTGTCGTCATGGTGCTCTTGACCATCCTCGCGTTGCTCTACGGCGTCTGCGGGGGTCGGCGTTCGCGCGTTGTGTGCCGATCCGTAGCTTGAAACAGATCTAGGTCTCCCAGATGGGGTCCGAGCAGATGAGGTCGGAAGATCGCGCCGCACCGCCGATGCAACGGCGATGCATCGGCGATGCGGCTCGATGTGGGGCCAAATTTATTCCACGCCTACGTCGTGGATGCATCATCGACGTAGCTGATGCATCGCCAGTACATCGCCGATGCATCGCCGATGTATCGCCGATGCGGTGCGATCCTCCGACCCCATCTACTCCGATCCCATCTAGGCGGCCTCTACGGCCCCTACGTTTGACATCACCTCACCTCGGTGCCAATCCTAAGGATTCCCTCCGCTTCTGAGGGCACACCCCTGGGATTGTCATCGCCCAGGGCGTGCCGATCCCAGGGATAGGGATACGTTCAAGGCTGGTTAGGGAGGGTTCAGAGGAAGCGTGCTCCCTGAGATCCGACGGCGCGAAAAAGTCAGACCAGCGTTAAAAAAGCACGACCCGAGCCCCAGACCCCATCTTTCGGCGCCATTTTTCGAGCCAGATCGACCTGTGAGGGAGCCTGTTTGATGTTGAAGGCTCTGGCAAGTTTACCTGCATTGACGGGGGGGGCGCCTGAACCTGAAGCAAGCCGCAAACGATGTACACGCTAGTATATTCGTTTGATGAGGGGCGAGGGGGTGGGGGCGTGGGGGGCGAGAACGCCACGCAAGTAAAAATCGGAACAGCGTAAGAAATCACGACCAGAGCCTCAGACCACATCTTTCTGCGCCATCTTTCGATCTGGATCGATCTGTGAGGGTCCCAGGGCCCGAATCCTGACGAAAACGCCCAGCTCGACAAAATTGGGACGCCAGGATCTAAGGGCTTGCACGGGGAGGATTTGTAGGGTGAGTATTGCCAGACTCTAGGCCTCCCAGATGGGGTCCGAGCAGATAGGGTCGGATGATCGCGCCGCCTCGCCGATGCATCGGCGATACGGCTCGGTGTGGAACCAGAGTTTCTTCATGCCGACGTCGCCGATGAATCCGCGATGCATTGGCGATGCGGCGCGATCTGCCGACCCCACCTACAGTCAACCCGCGTAGCGAGGATGAACGACTCTCCAAGGCTGCCCTTGCATCCTTCCCCTGCAGCCCATCCTTGGCCGCTCTTGCTGGCCGCGCCCCGCTCGCAAGCAGAGTGGCGGCACGGCCTTCCAAGGCCTCACCCCTATCTCGAAGAACAAAAGAAAGACAGGCATAAACTTTCGGAGGTCCGCGCGGATTTCTTGGATCTGCGCTGGGCCCCCCATTTCGGCGCCTTCGGTGCCGCCTCTGGCGCGCTCCGCGCGCCAGGGAGAATAGTCCATCGCCGATCCAAGAAATCCGCGCAGACCTTCGAACAGTGTATATTCATGCTGTTGTTGTCGTTGAACTCACGTCTGAAAAGTAAGTATTGTTGATCCCCCCCGCCTGGTGCACAATGTATTTTTTCTATTGAAATACCCCTCCTGGAGCTC